GATAACTCGGCCTGAGACCAGCTCCCTTCCTGTTTCCAGCCCAGACTGTAAATAAATACAGTGCAGAGAAGAGTAACAAAGGGGTCTGGTTTTAAAAAAACGGGTTGCCCCGAGCTGTGCTCTGTAGAAACTGCTGGGCGTCGGGATGGTGGTGCGACTACGAGGAGAGGAGAAACGTTCTTAAAAGTTCTTTGAACGTAATCTTCCACTCTAGCTGCTACTGCAGTAATTAAAGCCAGAGTGATTGAAGTACACAACAAGCCTCTTTTCGAAAAGGATGCGGAAAGCCCATTCACAAAAAGATAATTTATTGTCCGTTAAATTCCCAGCCTCTACAGTAAAGTGTTTAATTTTTTAGCACTGAATAAAAAAAACAACAAATTGATTCTGACACATGATTTGCTATGGCAACGTCTAAATCCAGTCTTTGATTTTTCTTTTCCTTGCTGCTCAGTTCTGTGTTCCAGTCTGTCAATTGAGCATGTATTTTATCTTGTGCAATAAATGTTGCCTTAATTGTAAAACACGGTCACACAGGGTATAATAGAGAACATTTGAAAAACAGCGCTGGGATGAATTACTGAAAACATCAAAAGTAATGTTTCCCCCCCTCCCCCCCTTAATTTCTGGTCTGTAATAATGTAGCAGCTATTATGCTAGATCCGTGCACAAATGTTAGAAAGAAACGTTTGGATCATTCTGTCATGGGGTCCTATGTGGTGATGGGTATATTAATGGCCTTCTCTCGTTGGTAACCGGCCCTTTGTGCAAGTGGATGAATGAATATCGCCTTGCTTCGTTCATTTGTACCCAATTCACAATTTTAAATGCTGGACATCTTTTGCAGAGCTCCCGATGTCCAAGCATCCTACCTGGAAGATGGCCCACTTTCTCTTTCAAACTCCCAGTCATCTAATGGGAACAAAAGAAGATTTTCTCTGGGTTTTAAAGATGACTTGTAAGTAACCCTGAAAAGGATCTCTCAAAGTGTAAGGAGACTGCTTCCTTTTAGAGCTGGGAAGACTTTAAATCAGCCATGTCAGTCACAACTGTGAGTGGCGTCAAATCCAGTTGGAAGATCTTAGAAGTGAACAGATACGATGGAGTATTTTAGTGACGACCCTGCTGGCCCTCTTTACCATTAAAGTGGATGGGAAGAATTCCTTGAGGAATCGACTGCAAGGCTTGTGAGATGTGGCAAGATCTCCCTGAGCACTGCTGATGGAATTTAAGGGATCCCACCTTGTTTCTTCTCCTTGTTGCATTCCTGGGGCCTGAGCCGAGGTCATTCTTGCTC